CATAAACACCCGGAAGTGCCAAAATAATTTTGAAGAAAAAGAACAAAGCAGGAGCCTTAACCCACCCAGACTTCAGATAATACTACAAAGCTACAGTAATCAAAAAAGCTTGGTATTGGCACAAAAACAGACATACAGATCAATGGAATAGAACAGAGAGCCCAGAAGTAAATCCACACACCTACAGTCTACAAAAAAATACAATGAGAAGAAAAGAGTTTCTTCATCAAGTGGTTTTGGGAAATCTGGAGAGTTGCATATAAATCGATCAAATTAAAACAAACCCTCTCACTGAACACAAAGTCAGTCTCAAAATGCCTTAAAAACTTAACATGTGACACCATGAAACTCTTGGAGGAGAACACTGACAAAACAGTCTCTGACATCAATCATACCAGTGTTTTCAGGTCAGTCTCCAAAGACAGCAGAAATAAAAACAAAAATAAACAAATGGGACCCATTCACACTTGTGCACTGTTAGTGGAAATGTAAGGGAGGTTTAAGAGGGAGGGGACATGTGTATACTTATGGCTGATTCGTGTTGATGTGTGGCAGAAACCAACACAATATTGTAAAGTAATTATCCTACAATTTAAAAAATAAAAGAAAAAAATGGTACAACCACTGTAGAAAACATTATAACACTTCCTAAAAAATTTTAAACTAGAATTACCATATGATCCAGCAATTCTATTGCAGATATACCCCAAAGATCTGGAAGCAAGGTCTTCGTGAGATATGTTTGCACCCGAGTCTGTAGAGTCATTATTCACAATAAATAAAAATTGGAAGCAAAGCAAGTGTACACACACTGATAGACAAACAAAAGTGGCCCATGCATACACCAGAATATGATTCAGCCTTAAAAAGGAAGGAAATTCTGACACCTGCTATGTTGTGGGTGAACCTCCAGAATGTAAGGCTAAGTGAAATACACCAGTCACAAGAGGGCAAATGCTGTCAGACTCTGCTAATGTAATGGGTCTGGAGTGGTCAGTTCCACAGAGGCACAAAATGTATGATGAGGCCAGGGGCTAGGGAGGACGAAGGGGAACCAGTGTTTAATGGGGGAAGAGTTTGGAAAAATGGAAAGTCCTGGAGATGGGTGGTGGGTAAGACCACACAACAACCTGAAAGGACCTAAAGCCACCTAAGCAGACACTTAAAAGTAGTTACTGTGGGAAGCTTGTATGTGTGCTTCATGACTTTTAACAAAAGAGATAAAGGAGACAATGCTAGTTAAGCCAGCAAGTGGGGAAGAGATTGGGAAGGAAGATGCTATCGTTAGTTTCTTCTTCCTCAAGATAGTCATTGAGTGCTCTTAAACCAAGTTTTCAAAACCTCAAATTGACACATCATTAAATTATAACCAAGTCCTTTTAATCAAAGAGCTAACACCTATCTTACTCAAACTCTTCCAGAAAATTGCAGAAGAAGGTAAACTTCCAAACTCATTCTATGAGGCCACCATCACCCTAATTCCAAAACCAGACAAAGATGCCACAAAAAAAGAAAACTACAGGCCAATATCACTGATAAACATAGATGCAAAAATCTTTAACAAAATTCTAGCAAACAGAATCCAACAACATATTAAAAAAATCATACATCATGACCAAGTGGGCTTTATCCCAGGAATGCAAGGATTCTTTAATATCTGCAAATCAAACAATGTAATACACCACATTAACAAATTGAAAGATAAAAACCATATGATTATCTCAATAGATGCAGAAAAAGCCTTTGACAAAATTCAACATCGATTTATGATTAAAACTCTTCAGAAAGCAGGAATAGAAGGAACATACCTCAACATAATAAAAGCTATATATGACAAACCCACAGCAAGCATCACCCTCAATGGTGAAAAATTGAAAGCATTTCCCCTGAAATCAGGAACAAGACAAGGGTGCCCACTCTCACCACTACTATTCAACATAGTTTTGGAAGTGTTGGCCACAGCAATCAGAGCAGAAAAAGAAGTAAAAGGAATCCAGATAGGAAAAGAAGAAGTGAAACTCTCGCTGTTTGCAGATGACATGATCCTCTACATAGAAAACCCTAAAGACTATACCAGAAAACTTCTAGAGCTAATCAACGAATACAATAAAGTTGCAGGATATAAAATTAACACACAGAAATCTCTTGCATTCCTATACACTAACAATGAGAAAACAGAAAGAGAAATTAAGGAAACAATACCATTCACCATTGCAACAAAAAGAATAAAATACTTAGGAGTATATCTACCTAAAGAAACAAAGGACCTATACATAGAAAACTATAAAACACTGATGAAAGAAATCAAAGAGGACACAAACAGATGGAGAAATATACCGTGTTCATGGATTGGAAGAATCAATATTGTCAAAATGGCTATACTACCCAAAGCAATCTATAGATTCAATGCAATCCCTATCAAAATACCAACGGTATTTTTGACAGAACTAGAACAAATAATTTCACAATTTGTATGGAAATACAAAAAACCTCGAATAGCTAAAGTAATCTTGACAAAGAAGAATGGAACTGGAGGAATCAACCTGCCTGACTTCAGACTATACTACAAAGCCACAGTCATCAAGACAGTATGGTACCGGCACAAAGACAGAAATATAGATCAATGGAACAGAATACAAAGCCCAGAGATAAATCCACGAACCTATGGCCACCTTATCTTCGACAAAGGAGGCAAGGATATACAATGGAAAAAAGACAACCTCTTTAACAAGTGGTGCTGGGAAAACTGGTCAACCACCTGTAAAAGAATGAAACTAGAACACTTTCTAACACCATACTCAAAAATAAACTCAAAATGGATTAAAGATCTAAATGTAAGACCAGAAACTATAAAACTCCTAGAGGAGAACATAGGCAAAACACTCTCCGACATAACTCACAGCAGGATCCTCTATGACCCACATCCCAGAATTTTAGAAATAAAAGCAAAAATAAACAAATGGGACCTAATGAAACTTAAAAGCTTTTTCACAACAAAGGAAACTATAAGCAAGGTGAAAAGACAGCCCTTGGATTGGGGGAAAATAATAGCAAACGAAGCAACAGACAAAGGAGTAATCTCAAAAATATACAAGCAACTCCTCCAGCTCAACTCCAGAAAAATAAATGACCCAATCAAAAAATGGGCAAAAGAACTAAACAGACATTTCTCCAAGGAAGACATACAGATGGCTAACAAACACATGAAAAGATGCTCAACATCACTCATTATCAGAGAAATGCAAATCAAAACCATAATGAGGTACCATTATATGCCAGTCAGGATGGCTGCTATCCAAAAGTCTACAAGCAATAAATGCTAGAGAGGGTGTGGAGAAAAGGGAACCCTCTCACACTGTTGGTGGGAATGCAAGTTAGTACAGCCACTATGGAAAACAGTGTGGAGATTTCTTAAAAAAGCTGGAAATAGAACTGCCATATGACCCAGCAATCCCACTTCTGGGCATACACACCGAGGAAACCAGATCTGAGAGAGACACGTGCACCCCAATGTTCATCGCAGCACTGTTTATAATAGCCAGGACATGGAAGCAACCTAGATGCCCATCAGCAGACCAATGAATGAGGAAGCTGCGGTACATATACACCATGGAATATTACTCAGCCATTAAAAAGAGTTCATTTGAATCACTTCTAATGAGATGGATGAAACTGGAGCCCATTATACAGAGCGAAGTAAGCCAGAAAGAAAAAGACCATTACAGTATAATAACACATATATATAGAATTTAGAAAGATGGTAACGATAACCCTATATGCAAAACAGAAAAAGAGGCTCAGATGTATAGAACAGACTTGTGGACTCTGGGAGAAGGTGAGGGTGGGATGTTTCAAGAGAACAGCATCGAAACATGTATATTATCTAGGGTGAAACAGATCACCAGCCCAGGTTGGGTGCATGAGACAAGTGCTCGGGCCTGGTGCACTGGGAAGACCCAGAGGTGGAGAGGGAGGTGGAAGGGGGGACCGGGATGGGGAATACATGTAAATCCATGGCTAATTCATTTCAATGTATGACAAAAACCACTGCAATGATGTAAAGTAATTAGCCTCCAACTAATAAAAATAAATGGAAAAAAAAAGTTATGGTTTTTCCAGTAGTCACATATGGATGTGAGAGTTGGACCGTAAAGAAAACTGAACACTAAAGAATTGATGCTTTTGAAATTGGATGTCAGAGAAGACTCTTGAGAGTCCCTTTGACTGCAAGGAGATCCAACCCGTCTATCCTAAAGGAAATCAGTCCCAGACATTCATTGCAAGGACTTACGTTGAAGCTGAAACTCCAATACTTTGGCCACCTGATGTGAAGAACTGACATGTTGGAAAACACCCTGATGCTGGGAAAGATTGAAGGCGTGAGGAGAAGGGGATGGCAGAGGATGAGATGATTGGATGGCATCACCGACTCAATGGACATGAGTTTAAGTAAACTCTGGGAGTTGGTGATGGGCAGGGAAGCCTGGTGTGTTGTGGTCCATGGGAGGACAACTCAGCCACAGTTGTGAAACCTGATGATGCCTGACCCACGACCAGAGGGTCCCACCACTGAGCCCCATCTCAGAGCGGGCCCTGTGCATGAACACATGTAGGCATGGAGACTGCTGTTTACCACCACTTCATCTCAGCAACAGCTGCTAGGCTAGCCGTGGACAGGGAGGGACGCCGTGAATGCAATCTGTCCACCCAGTGGAAGATGGCAGTGTTCATGAGATGAGTAGGGGACACCTCTGCACACAGGCAAGTATGGAAAATGCCGTAAGTCCCCTACATATGAACAAGTTACACTCTGAGACTATGTCCATAAGTTGTTTGTTTGTAGGTCCAACAAAGCTGGCCGACACAGTTGGCTACATAATGCTGTGTTGTAATAGGTTTATAATTCTTTTCACACAAACAATACATTAAAAAACAAAAAAGTAGAGAAAATACCTTTATTCTCACAGGACAGTACCATGAATAGTACAGTAGTCCGGCACAACAGCTGGCACACAGGGGCTGGCATCCATGAACAGGCAAGATTGACTGACTGGAGGAGGGAGGGGAGTAGTGGGAGAAGGTGGATCTGAAGGATGGTGAGCAATGGGAGATGGAGGACGAGCTGCAGGGTCACTCACACCTGACACTGATGGAACACACATGTGCATCTTTGAAAGCTTGCAACTTGAAGGTTCGTATGTAGGGGACTTACTGTACCATGTTACATGAAAACATCAAGCAGCAGAATGGTAGATGCTGCAATACCACGATGATGGAAATAATTTCCCCAAGTGGTAAACCTTCATTTTAAACAGATGTATAGTATTCTGTCATGTGGACACATCATATGCCTTTGGTCCACTCCCTACTGATGGATATTCACACTGATTCCTTCTGTTTTTGTTGTTGCTAAAAACGCTGTCACAGAAACCCTCTAACATGTACCTTCACACACAGGTAAGGCTGTGCTGGTTAAGCTCATTAATGGCATTGCAACTGTTGTGTTAAAAAGGCTGTATAGCTAGTTTTCACTAAATAAGTTCGTGGTTTCAAACACAAAACCCCCAAAGCTCAGTGCTTTAATACAACAGGAGTTCATCCCTTGTGGCTGTTACATCCTGGGGAACTGGTCAGCTGTAGCCATGCTGGTCCTCCTCCAGGGCCCAGGCTGAGAGGGCAGCCTTCATCTGAAAGGCACACACTCATGACCACGAGAAACCAGAAGGGCACTACAGAAAAAGGCCCAGGACCATAGTTCACATGCACTCTGGTGTCCTCGACGATGGAGCTGGAAAACCTCTCCAGAGAAGGGGCCGTGAATCACATGTGATGGGAGGGTGGCCCAGGGAGGGCAGACACTGGGACCAGGGCATTACCACACTAAGTGGAGACTGGGATGCCAATGCATATGGTCTCATCAGCCTAGGACTAAAGGTGGATGGAGGTCTATGCTATAACTTTAAAAAGGTACATGTGGGGTTTTTTGTTTGTTTGTTTTTGTTTGCTTTTACCATCTTTACAGGCACGTATTTCTCTTGGTGTTGCTTTGATCTAATTTCTTCAAATCTTGAATGGGTTGATGCTAGGCAACTGCCTGTGCAATTCACGTGTGTGGACTGCAAACTGCCTGTCTCGTGCATGGTCCACTTCAATCACACTGTTGCTTGGGTTCACATTATTTATTAATTAGCTCTATTTTATAGGAATATTCACAGCAGCTCTATTTGTTATAGACAGACACTATAAACAAAACAGACGTCTACCAACAGGTGAATGAACTGGTACGACGTTACCGAGCAGTGACACGCAGATGCAAACAAAGGAACTCGATCTTCCCTGAGTGGCTGCAGATTCTTCTCCTGTGTCCTTTCTGATTTGTGCCTCAAAAGGTGCCCTCAGTACCAACAGCAGCAACTGTCATGATGAATTCCACTTTCAAGAAACGTAACTGCTCCGATCAAGTTTCCACTACCATACACACACACACACACACAACATAATTTCTACTACCAAGTTTTCACTACTCCCCAGACACACACAGAACAAACACACAGACACACACACACACACACACACACACACACACACACACACACAAATCTTCGGGCCGGGGATCTGAGTCATCCCAGAGCCTGTTCTGAATCTGGGAGTCGGTGTCATGAATAAAACATTTGCTGAGTGGATTAGCAGCTCATGAAGGATGACTTCCTAAGCATATACTTGGCTTAATGTATCAAGGCAGCAAATTTAAAGTCAGCTAATGAAGGATCCCCTTAGACCACCCTCTGGGTCCTGTGTTTTATTCAGGTCATGGTTTCTTTCCTGATACTCAGCAACTCCTCTGCCCCCAACCCTTTTCTCTAAGCACTGAGGGTAGCTATCCTTACTTACAGGATCTGAATTGTATTCTCTTTTTTCTGAGAGCCACAACACAACCATGTCTTCTTTCCTGTCACTTTAATATAGAATATTTTTAGAATGGGCTTCCCATGTAGCACAGTCATAAAGAATCTGCCTGACAATGGAGGAGACGCAAGAGACCTGGGTTTAACCCCTGGATTGGAAAATCCCCTAGAGAAGGAAATGGCAACCCACTCCAGTATTCTTGCCTGGAGAATCTCATGGACAAGGGAACCTGCTACAGTCAAAAGTTGGACATGACCAAGTACATGTCAGGTCACATTCTTTAGAATAGCCAAACAGAAACAATACAAATAAAAACTACATCTAAACTGAAAGTTGCTCAGTCACGTCCAGCTCTTTGAGGCCCTTTGAAACTACAGAGTCCATGAAATTCTCCAGGCCAGAACACTGGAGTGGGTAGCTTTTCTTTCTCCAGGGGATCTTTCCAACCCAGGGATTGAACCCAGGTCTCCAGCATTGCAGGCGGGTTCTTTACCAACTGAGCCGCAGGGGAAGCCCAAGAGTATTGGAGTGTGTAGCCTATCCCTTCTCCAGCAGATCTTCCTAACCCAGGAATCAAACCTGGGTCTTCTGCATTGTGGGTGGACACCAAATTTAAAAAGCAGCCTGTACGTATAATTTTAATGGATTGATTATAGCCTAATCCTATCCAACAACCCAGACCTCCTCTGGGAGACCCTGCCCCCTGGATCCTTGGGTGTCCTGGTCGAAGTGCTGGGTCCTTCTCTTCTCATGCCATCATGCACCCTCCTCTGGCTCAGGTGGCCTCAACCCACTGCTCTGTGTGAATTTTAAGATCACTCATTGTTTAGAGATTTCTATGATGAAATCTCTAAAATTTCCCCTTAAAATTGTCAGATAATTTAGGAAAACACGTAACTCAAAACAAACTCACAAGAAATGGAGAAAAAGCAGGAGATTCCCAATTCAGAGTAAGATATTTGGGCTTTGTGATCCTTTGTCCAGACCTGGGTTAGTGTTGCCAAGGATTTCTGTAAGAAGAGAAGAAACACCCTAAACCCAGGAGGCCCACATACATGACTTTATGGAGCTTGCAACACCTTAAGTGGAGCCCTCTACACTCATTTTAAACAACTAAGGACACTTTTACTAAAGAGCCTTCAGAGGTCTTCACCACTGAAACTTTAAGTTGGTTTTCCTTACTTTTCTTCCTCTTCTTCCAAACGATCTCACTTGTATCCAGCCAAGAGCTACCTGATTAAATGCATTGTTTTGAAGAAGACATACAGATGGCTAACAAACACATGAAAAGATGCTCAACATCATTCATTATCAGAGAAACACAAATCAAAACCACAATGAGGTACCATTACACGCCAGTCAGGATGGCTGCTATCCAAAAGTCTACAAGCAATAAATGCTGGAGAGGGTGTGGAGAAAAGGGAACCCTCTTACACTGTTGATGGTAATGCAAACTAGTACAGCCGCTATGGAGAACAGGGTGGAGATTTCTTTAAAAACTGGAGATAGAACTGCCATATGACTCAGCAATCCCACTCTGGGCATACATACCGAGGAAACCAGATCTGAAAGAGACACGTGCACCCCCATTGTTCATCACAGCACTGTTTATAATAGCCAGGACATGGAAGCAACCTAGATGCCCATCAGCAGACCAATGGATAAGGAAGCTGTGGTACATATACACCATGTAATATTACTCAGCCATTAAATAGAATTCATTTGAATCAGTTCTAATGAGATGGATGAAACTGGAGCCCATTATACAGAGTGAAGTAAGCCAGAAAGATAAAGACCAATACAGTATACTAATGCATACATATGGAATTTAGAAAGATGGTAATGATAACCCTATATGCAAAACAGAAAAAGAGACACAGATGTACAGAACAGACTTTTGGACTCTGTGGGAGATGGCGAGGGTGGGATGTTTCGAGAGAACAGCATCGAAACATGTATATTATCAAGGGTGACACACATCACCAGCCCAGGTTGAATGCATGAGACAAGTGCTTGGGCCTGGTGCACTGGGAAGACTCAGAGGGATGGGGTGGAAAGGGAGGTGGGATGGGGGGATCGAGATGGGGAATACATGTAAATCCATGGCTGATTCATGTCAATGTATGACAAAAACCACTGCAATGATGTAAAGTAATTAGCCTCCAACTAATAAAAATAAATGGAAAAAAAAGAAAAAAAAATGAACAATAGGAAGCTTTCTTGTGTTCCTCACTGCTGTCTGCATTCCTTCCCTTCCGCCTGTTTCTGCACAGACTACTGTGGCCCAAATCTCTCTAGATGGTCAGAATCTGACACCACTCTGTTTAACTGCTATCATTCGAACAGCTCCTATTTTCAGTTTCTTCTAACTTTGCATGTAATTCAACCTGACAAACATATATTGAGACTCTACCATGTTCAGGGAGCAGGGCCAGGTTCTGGGGGTACGGCCAGAAGAAGACAGAAGTATTTGACACCAGGGAGCTCAGAGGCTAGTGGAGGAAGGCAGCCAGGTAGTGAAACAGTCCCCGGAAGAAGGTGAACAATTCCAAGGTCTGCACACGGACCCAGGAGTCAGGATGTGGTCCCCAGTCCTGTCTGGGTCAGCTCAGCCACCAGCTACTTGTGGTTCCAACCAAGGGGTGTTTCTCACCTGAGTCCCAACTGTGGAATATAGGGTGGCAAAAGTCTATTCTTAATAAGAGGAACAGCAAAAATGATGACACCACCACTCTGGGTGCCTGCCAGGTGCAGGGCTGGGTGCTGCATAGATGCTGCCTCACCCCACTGGCTCCGGGAGTCCAAGGAAGCCTGTCTGCACAAACGTTAAGATGCTGTGATTGATTGCAGCCTCCCCATGAGATACAAACATGGACCCTGGGGAAGGGAGTTGCTCCACACCTCTGCCCAGAAGGAGGCGTTGTTCTCAGCCTGACATGAAAGGTGGGGAAGGGCAGGAAGGGTACGATGGAGAAGCAGGACGACCTATCTGCTCCCTCTTAGCATCCCTTCCCTGTCATCATTCTCGGCTAGTCCTAGGACACAGGACATGTTCCACTGTAAATGCCTCTGTCAATTAGGTCATTCATTAAACACTTGATTCTCCATGTGTTCACCTATGGACACACTCAGGCACACATTCCTAGACTCAAGTGAGCAGCAGCTTGTGAACACACACATGCAGTCACAAAAGTATTTATTAATATTTTGAGTCTC